GTTTCACTGCTTGTCCAAGCAGCTTCAGAAGCTGCTTGGACAAGCAGTGAAACGTATCAAACTAAAAGAAAAGAAGTCCAGTTGCCATGACTCAACCTCCAGATAATTCCACCTGGATGACTGAGAATCTTCATCAACAAGTTATGATGTTTTCCTCACTCTATAGCAACTCCTGAAACCTAGGCTCAGGATGTCAGATATTACAGCAGGAGCAATCTTTAAACATTGAAAGCTTCATTTTCCCATTATGAAAACTCTTATTTTCTGTTTAGGGTTGAGAACATTTAAATCCTTTTCCAACGTCCTGGGATAAAGTATAAGTAATCCCAAAGCTTTTCTTCTTACTCACTTACCATGTTTAAACAACACAGACATCTGACTTAAGCAACGTTGATATAAAATACATATACATACACACACTTTCTCTCTCCCTAAATAGATCTAAATCCAGACTTGATACCTGTTTAGCAGGGTACTTAGATTAAAAAAATATTTTAAGAACATAGGAAAAAATATTTTGCTATAAAGCCAGAGACCCCAAAACTTGCAGAAGACATTGAAAAAGAAGAAGAGCTGTCCCCATAATTCCAGTGTAACAATAATATTTATAAAGCACCGCTGAATGTTCAAAGCTCTGAATGTACAGTATAGACTATTAAGGGAGGTATTTCAGAATCATTGTGTCTAAGGTATAACTGGGGTGGGGTGGGGGTGGTGAGCTGTCCTAAAATAACCACATGGCGAAGTCCGTAGCAGAGGTGAGATCTGAAACCAGACTTCCTGGCTCACAGTATTGCCTCCTTTTGTACCTCCACTGTGACCAGTGCAGAGAATGCTCCCCTCTGCTTTGGGATGCAGGAAGTATTACATATCAAAGCTTCTACTGCTGTACAATTCTCCCAGCTTGTCTTGAGAGAAAGAGAAAGGAAGGGAAGGGAAGGGAGCCACACAGCCATCAGATTTCTCTCCAACTAGTTGAAGTCTTCTTACCTGGAAAGTAGAGAGAAGGACCTGCAAGCCACTACTTTCTTGCTCAGCCATGTTGCTATGCTCGATCCCACCCCAAAACTTTTAATTCCAACAGGGAGGTTTCACCTAACTGCTTTGCTGTTGTCCCGTCCTGATCAAGAGAGCAGCTAAATCCAGATCAGGAGAGAATAAAAAAAAATCAAAGCAATACAGTTCTAGACCTCCACATATGAAATAAATACACACACAGACACACGCATAAACATCCCACCCAGGTCTCCAGTCCCTTTGCTGCTCTCCCCGTGTGACGGAGAGATTAATTCCTATATAAAGAATCCGGGGGATTAAGGAAAGCTCTCGGCAAAAGGTCTGGGTGTTTAGTGCACAGCCGGAGGCACGCAGGGTAGCTGGCGATGAGGGAAGAGGGGAAAAGCAGAGAAAGAGGCAACTTTGCATAGTCCAGGCAGAGGGACCGAGAAGTGGGCGGCTGAACTTGGCTGCCTGACAGGCATTCTCAGCTGACTGGCTGATCAGTTCCAGAGGACCTTCTGAGGCCACTTGGTCTGCCTGCTTCTGTCTCAGTGTAATCGGAGAGGCCTGCAGATGGACACGAGACACACGAGTCCAGGGAAGCAGTGGGGTACAAAGAAGGGACACTGGCAAGCTCTTAAAGACACACTTCAACATGAGGCTCACTCGTCAGACTAACTGTGGTTTCCTCGGCCTCAGCGTAGCATAGTGTGCAAGGATGGATTGTACAACAGAGCTTAGGACAGGGCCAGGTATGAACCCAAGTAACTGAGGCTTGCTAAACGAACTGCAGCTAAAAGAAACCATGCTTATGGCAACGTGGGGATCTTTTGAGTGATCTGTCAGTCTTCAGAAGTTTAACATGTAGCGGCTCCCCCATTTGTACCTCCCTCAACTCGCTAGTGAATTTCAGTGAGGTAATCGTAGGTGCTCGAAAGGCCACAAAAATGCAACTGCTGGCTTCTCACAGTCTCTGCCAGTGACCAATAGGCCAAGTCCCTCAAAGCTGACCCTAAGTAGCTGGGAATTCTGGGAGAAGAAAAGCCTGGCAAAGGTTGATCGAGGACGACTGTATAGCCAATTTTGCTGAAGAGCAAGGACAGGAAGAAAGAAAAATAGTTATCCCCTCCCCCTTTCTGGAATCAGACTTGGATGAATTGGCCTTTCTTCCCCATTTTTTACTGGAGGACTTGTCCATTGTTTGCCTATTCCTGGCTCCCTGGAGCTATGAACCCTCCACCCTACCAGGCAGCATTAGAAAAAATACTCCTAAAAATACTGCTTTCTAACCGATGTCACCAACATCTAACTTGGAGAAAATTAACACAGCTGTCAGTGGTGTTTCCAGGGTCAGCCCTTGAAGTATCTGTCTCATCCTGACAGGACCCAGAAAGTCTAATAAAAGAAACTTATGTAATAGCCAAGGCAGACTTGTGGGATAATGTTCTATGATGAGCAGAAGAAAGAAGGGTGACAAAACCCTTTTAAGAACTTATAAAAGCTTGGCTAGCACTCAGCATGCTTCACTGATTAATCCACTGGCTGCAAAAATGACTTGAGCGCTAATTAAAGGCAGCTTAAAGAAGCTGTTGGGCTGTTCTCTCTCACTTCCCACTTTCCCCATTCTACAGATAAATGTACCTATCACTGAAGCTGGATGAAGCCATGATTACCTAATGATTAAAATAACAACAACAAACCCAAACCATTTGCCTATTCATGGACATAACATTTTCCTTTTTCTGATATCGAGTCCCAAAATTATAGTATTCATCACCAAGTCCAATTCTTTCCAATTCAGAAGTCCTTTGCAGCTGCCCAAACTCCAAAGAAATCTCCCATTTCCCTGAAGTACACATCATGACATAGCCCAGTAGGTCATGTGTTGGTTTAGTTTGTTATAGGAACCCAAAGAATGCAGATATGAGTATCTGACTGGGGGCAGGGGGCATTATCTGGCAACAGAATCTAGAATATACTGGTGTAAGCTTTCATGGATTGTATCTGTTGGGCAGTGTCAGGCTTCAGGGTGTAGTGACTGTGATGTAGACAAGCAGACCACCTTGCCTCTGAAGATGCCAGCCACAGTTGCCAGCAAAACATCAGGAAATCTATTATCTAGACCTCAGCCACTAAACCCTGAAGCCCAGCATTGCCCAATAATCTGGATACTTTGAAACCAAATTCTGCTTTCTGAAAACATTCAAATTATACATGGTATAGTGAAAGAAGACCAAGTGGGAGCATTTTCCTCCCAATTTCATGAACTAAGACTACCAAAGATGGTCAATGGGAAGAGAGTTTGAACAGGCAAAAGAGAGTTCTTCATCTAGCACATTATCAACCTGTAGTTATTTGTGTTATCAAATTACTAAAGATTGGGTGACGGCCACTAACCTGGTTGGCTTTAAAAGGGAGTTGGGAAAATCCATGGAGGGCAAGTCTGAGGAGTGGGTTAATCCTGAAGACTCAAAGGTACCTCTGGATTGGGAAAACAGGTTTCCAAATAACAGTTACAGAGGAACAATGGAGGAAAGAGGATAGATCCCTATCTCCTGCCTGTAAGACACATTTGTTGGCCATGATAAGACCCTAAAGGTTGGACTAAGATGGCCCTTGACCTGATCCATCATGGCTATTCTTAACAGTTCTGCCCCATTTTTCACTATTTAAAAAAAGGTAAAGGAGCAATCAGAAAAGAATTGTTATAACATTCCAAACAGTGTATCAAACAGATTAAATATATATAGCAGCAAAAGGCTTCCTTTACAGCCACCAAGGAAGATAAAAATAAAAATCCTTACAAGCCTGACATAATAAAAAGTGTTTCACTGCCCATCTAAAACTAGAAAGAAATAAAGCTTGGTAAATTGTCCCAAATGTAGCATTTTTACCAAAGAGGTCTCACCCCTCCTTAATTCTCCCCTCTCTGACCTTTACTAATCAAAAGCCAGAGTGAAAATTCTCTCATGCCAGGACTGTGCTTTGGGTAGGTGAATGTTGGCATAAGGGCTTGTTCAGATAACTTAGCCTAAAGGACTATTTAAATAGTCACCAGCAACATTATATTGGGTGTAAATGCATCCCTGAGCTACCTTCTCCCCCAATACCCTTTTCTAAAAAGGTAATTCCATCTGAAAAACAGATGGATTTTTTTTTTTAAATGGTTCTCTGTTGGCAATCAGCCTTACAGATTTACAGAAAGGCAACTACTTCTGAATTTCTTTTCCACATGCCTATTCCTAAATAACTTGGGAAAATACAACTGAGATTTCTGATGAAGCTTTGATCTCCCACTGAATCTGTTTGAAGAGTTTTACCTCTCCACCATCCTGACAGAGTAAATAGGGCCAAAAGGTTGAACTGCTGGTTTCAAACGAAGCCTTTCAACAGGGATCAATTTATTCTCCTTTGACCCTAACAGATTGTCAATAGATTGCAGAAACACTGTGGGTTAGGCTCTTGTTCACATCCCATTTATGATAAGCATGTCTTATTTAAAAAGAAAATGAAAATATATCATGGGTCCATCCTTCGGGAGCTTGATTGTAGCCAGGCTCCAAATGGAACCTGCTTCTCAATGGTAATGAATAAGGCACCATATCGGATGCAGCCCACATGCTGTGCTTAATTTGTCAACGTTAGGAGATGGGAAATACTTGCTCTTCAAGAAAAAGTAACTCCCACCTCCCGCCCCGCTTCAAGAGGAGCTCAACTACCAATGACGTCATGGACAATCCCTGCAGTTTTATTAGCGATTATACAGAAGTCATTTGCCCTTGCCTCCCTATGGAATGGTTTCTGCTTCCCAGGGGGTTTTTTGGTGGTAACCGATTGAAGTAGTAACCTGGGTCATCCCTGCTCAGCTTTTTTGAGATCAGCCAGGGTCAGCTAGGTGTTGGGACAAAGTTAAAGACTTGCGTGAGTTAGACTCAACCCTCGGTGATTTCATGGACACATCTATGCAGTTTTCTTGGCAACAGCAGAAAGATGGTTTCCCATTATCTCCTTCCAGGATTTCCCCCCCAGTCTAGACTACTACAACAGAACTTCCTGGTGATCTCCCATACAGGTGGTCACTAAGCCCAAGCCTGCTTCACCTCCAAATCCAGATAGCCAGGTAGTATCCCCAGCTGAGAGGCTATATAAGAAGAAGAAAGATGCAAGACCTTCCTAAGACAAACAAAAATCCCAGCTTGCTAATATGATAAAGTTGCAGTGGTTGGTAGACCCTTCATGCTTAGGAGAAACAAAGTAACAATGAATAACAAATATATTTAAGAATAAAGTAAAAAAGAAAGGCATACTTGATTTCAAAGACTACCTAATAGAAAATCTCTAGTAGCTGACCAACCTGCCTACAAACTGCTTCCTTGTAAATAACCAAGTTACATTTCTGAAGACAATCCATATGGGAAAGGTACACCCCATCCAAAGTGTTCATAATTTAATAGCAACCTAGAGCTCTTGCACTGAAAATCTTAAGATTAAATGCATTTCAGATTAATTTAAATAACCATAAGCAATGCTTGCCAAAATTGTTTTTGTCATCCGTAATTGAAAGCTACTTTAAGAATGGAGATTCATTTGTAAAATATAGTTACAAAAAGATTACCCAAGGAACAGCTGGTCCCTGAGGACTTTGGCAATAATCCAGCAGTACTGCTATGCTGTGTAGTGAAGAGGTACAAACTGCGCAAACTTTTCTGCATATGCTTTATTTGGTACAATTAAGTGATACAAGAATACGGAAGATTAACAAACCACTTATTATGAATAAATAGCAATGGAACTACAAACCAATAACAGCATCCATACAAATTGCATGGGAGAGGCAAGGAAAACACTATTCAAGTTAATGCCAGGGAAAATGTCTGCATCTGTTCTCCTGCTTTCAAATCTGCATTTATCAGTAATTTCATGATTGACTCAAGTATGTTACAATATTTACAACACAGACTTCAGCAACTGATGTTGTCTATATTGTCTGGAAATTTGGAGAGTTGCAGTCTTAACACATCAAGGGGACAACAGGTTGGGGGAGGTTATTCTAACCACACCACCTTTCTGCAGGGACAATTTTAATAAGATGTGTTCAACTGTGGAGGCACTTTCATTTGAATTACATTGGTCATAATTCATGACAGCACAAAGTAGATCCTTCACTGAGTGTTCCTCCCATCTCTGCTGCTTCCTACCCTGCCAGACACATCCTCATTTCCCTTCTTCAAGTCCCACAAGATATTATTTTGAGGAAGGGAGACACAGGGAACAAGGATTGTGGAAAACAAGTAGTTTCTTTGAGCATAGAGGGACTTCCTAGTAGTGGTACCCTTTCTGTGAGATACTCTCCCTAGCATTCACAGTATACCAACTTTGATCTG